AGGTGGCATACATAGACTCACACATCGGAGTAATTAACGTCAAATTAATTAGGCAAAGAATGATCGAGCTTATCAAATGCAAAAATATAAAAGGAAATGATGAGAGTCAAATTGCTTGTATTTGGGGGAAATGTCTACTTGGAATGCACAAGGCCCATTCTCTAATCCGTTGAATATGAGTTGATGGACCTAAGTCGACCAGAGTGTGCCGCCAGCCAGCACAATCTTACAACCGTTTAAACATTTTACACATGCTTAACTAAGTCCTTTTCGCCAAATTTGATTTGATTGCCCTAGTATTCATGTATCCCTATGTTTTTAACAATTCCACTGCCACTTTGCCAAATTCAGTCAACGGATATGCCAATTTAGTAACTATAGACTTCGACATATATCACATTATATATATATATATATATATATTTCTTCTATTTGTTTTAATGTTGGCATCTTATATATTTCCTTGACACACCTGCTGGGCTTGTAATCTTCTGCCATGGAATAACATGGCTGACCTTAATTGTAGAATAAAGTACATTATAAGGTTGACCAACTCACTACTTTATCATTCTTGTTAATATGCTCATTAGAACAAAGCAAACGTTGGGAAATTAGCTGGCTTGAGAGAAGAAAAATAATAAAATCGTGTGTTGTATCGGGTGGGAGGGACCAAATATTTATAACCAGGTGGGCGGAACCTGATATTTATATCAGTGTGAGCGGAATCAGGTATTTATATCGAGGTGGGCTAAATTTTCTTTTTCTTGTGACATAATAGTAAAATTAGGTGTAGGGATTGGCTAAATTTTTACTTTGAGCAATATTAGACTTGTTCTATTTTTTAAAAGAAAATTAATATTACTAAAAAAGAATTAATAACATGCTTGATGGTTACAGAGAAATGAATGTTGTAGCTGATCGTATGACTAACTAGAGCTTTAACTTGGATTTGGGGGTTAGCTATTTAGATGAGGCCCTTGCTTGAGTTAGTTCTTTTTTGGAGAATAATTTTTTTAGGAGTTGTTAGGCCTTGCTTGATCTGTTCTCGTTAGTTGTGTTCAATTCTTTCCCCAGATATGCCATTGCCATTGAGATGTAAACCCACCATATGAAGTACCAATTTTCCCCGATCATATATGTTGGGTCTTCGAATGCCATGGCTTTGGCTTATATTATGTGATGGTTCTTTGATCTTTGGTTTCTTCTTTTCCGGTACGGGTGTGCGTGTTGTTTTTTTTTAATTTAAGAGGGTTTTTTTTTTTTTTTTTTTCGATAGTCTAAACTAAGGGGAGGGGGTTTCTCACACACACACTACTATGATGCCATGAAAATTTGAACCAGTCTTGTTTCCTTTAATCACCAACCCGTCGAATTTAGCAACATGCTATATTACATGCAATTATGCTAACCTTTTGAGATTTAAGCCATTTCAATTAAAATTCAAAGATACATACAAGTTCTTAATTATTTTTGGGGACTATAATGATCTCAACTTTTTGTTTACAACATATACAGAATCTGAAATAAATTATGTAGATGCAAACTCATAATACCATATATAGCCCCTTCAAATTAATATTTTCTTACCTACAACCCTTTTTTTTTTTTTTTTTTTTCAAATTTGACTACTTTATCATTTAGTATTTTAATTTTCAAATTGATAGCTTATTTATACCAATTTCCAAATTTAATAATTGTTATGGTTTGAAATTAAGTTGTTCAAAGGAAAATAACATGTTGCTCTCTATAGGTCTTGACCCCTTGTGTATTAGTTACATGAATTTACCTACATATTTTCTTAGCAACCTATGCCTCTAGGTAGGTAAATTAATATACAACAAACTAAGGTCAAGAAAATATAAAAATTTTCATGACTTAATACCTTAAAACGACATTTTTAACAACTAAAATACATCATTGATTAGCATACAATGATAATCATAAATCAAAAGTCATGTACGATGGCACCCTCAAGGCGGCCTGCCGCATACAACAAAAACACATTATATATTTAATTCTAAAACATGTGTGCGTGGGAAATGCGTGTAGGCATGCATTTATCAAAGGTATGAAAGGCATGCATATGCTTTACATCATGTGCTAGGCGCCTTTAAAAATCACATTAAAAATCATTGCTTGTCCTTAAAATTAATATTTTAATATCAACTTATCTTCCAAGGTGGTCAGACTATTTTTTTTTTTTTCTTCTTCTTAATGGTCAAGGCGCATGGATGGATGGATGGAATGGGGCAAGTAAGCCAAAACTTTCAACAAAATGAAATCATTGCTTATGATGATAATTCATGCATATTATATAATTGATATTTGGATATGATTTAATTTAGAAACTCCTGCATTTACTGGTTTGAGGTCAGAATCAAACACACGAGGATGAGGCATGCATTTCGGCGATTCACATTGCTATAAAAACCTCCAAAAGTCAGCCCCGCAGACTAATATTTTGGCAGCAAATTTGTAGCAGTAGGGGTAGTTGACCATGCTAATTTCATGCCGCCGAAAAGAGAAAAAACCTGTCATTCGATTAAGAAATACAATGTTGTTGGATAAAACTAATGCAACTTTGAAAAGGAGGGAAAAAATATGGAAAACATCGAGCATCAATTATTTGGGCTTATATCAGATAAAAAATAGATGAGTCGGGCTTATAAAATCATTGTAGGCAGAAGTGTAGGCCCATTATTTTGGGCTTCAAAGTTTGAAGCTAGTTTTCTCTTTTGGGTCAAATTTTGAAGCTAGTTTTGTTGGCTTTAATTTGTGTGACATATAATGTTCTTTTCAAAAGAACCAAAAAAATAATAATAATAAGAAGCCAAAACAAGATGATAAAATCTCACCTTGCCCTTGACTGGATAGTGAGATCGAGTATTCTTTTTTTAGACTTTTATTGAGGAGTTAGTTTTAATTTTCTTAGTAATCAATAATAATCCATTTGCATGAAATGACCATGCTCCCTAGTGTTTCAGGTGAAACGATTGGAGCCAGAACTTGTAACACCGACAAACCCAACTCCTCGTTAACATAAGGTTCTATCAAAAATAGATAACCAAGAAGGCCTTAGGTTTCAAACTTGTCTTACAGTAACAAGCCTTCCTTGAAACAAAATGACGTGTTAAGATGATTATGGAAGCTCTAATTAGAACATTACATCAGTACCCCTTAGCTGGTAGAGTGAGGAAAATTCCTTACGGAAAGCTTATGGTAGATTGTAGCTCTCGGCAGACGACTTTTATTAATTGATTATAAATGGCAGTATTTTCTTTTGATTTTTCGGCGTTATTTTATTCTAAAAAAAAGATTTTGGAATTTTTATATTATGACGCTTTGGTCTTAGAATTCTGGATCAGCCACTACCCTCTAGCCGTATGATTCATAAAGTATTAAGGAAGCTAATACCTATTAAGTCTGTGGCATCATGCACAGGGCAAATGTCATACTACAAAATCAAATTGCATTAAGAGGAAGACAATGATATAGAAAAGGACTTTGAATGGTCCCATTTTTTCGTTTCTTTGGTCCAAAGCTAATCTATAAAAGCTGCAACCGACATGCTAGAGCCCTTCAATTTCTTTCAGTTCCCTTACATGCTTTAAGTCATAGTATGGCGTGTGTACTTGTTGTCTAAAGGACTGACCAAACACATTTACCCAATTTTTCTTTTGGTCAGTCCTTCTTTTCGAAAGACAGATTGTTCGATGTGATATAAATAAAGTGTTCGATATTATTATTGATAATATGTCAATAACAAAGTACGCCGACATATTAGGTTATATCTTAAGAAAGAAAGAACGGACATTGTGAACAAAAAAATTTCTGCGCATTTACCTTATAGTAAGTTACATTAATCTTTTTGGATGCTTGATACTCTGTCCCTTTTTTTTTCTTCAACATATGCCCAACTTTGACAAATCATAGGGTGACTACTTTTCTTTTTCTTTTTCTTTTTCTTCTTTTTGGCTTTCACTATCACTTTTCTGGTGCACTTATGATCATGGTTATTGCCATGTGCTCACTAATTCTTCTGAGTTCTAATTATAAAGTCATGGGCCCTGACCGACAGGCCAAGTGTTTTCTTAGCTAAATTTTTCTAAAAGTTTGTCTGTGTTTCTCCAAATTCCAAATCAAAGAGAAAACCAAAAATTTAATTAATACAAATGAAAAAGATAACTGCAATGAATTAAGTACTGTACATGTTGTTGAGACTTGGAAGTTGTTGCATGGTTTTACTGAATTTTATTAAGATTTTTGAATCTGCAGATAATCTTGTTTAAAGTTCTTTATCAAAACACGTTGGCATCAAACTTCCACTATCATCATATTCATATCACACCCTCAGAAGTCAAACCTGCCTTTCTGTTATTTTTCTGTATGATTGATCAGAAGGGTATCTTTAGTTTTCAAAACCTGCCTTATGATTTTCTGCAGCAGAAGTGCAGCCATACAGGAAACAAGGGATCTTCTTCATGTTCTGCATATTTTAATGTCAACAGGTCATAAATAATTGAAAAGATGACTAAATGGTCCCAATACAGAAAGATTCCATCAATCATATGTGGATATAAAATTGCTATGAACTGGAAGTTTTATTATTGGCATTCTGCTCCCAAATTCCGAATGCATACATTTTGATAGAAAAAGAAAACAATAAAGTATTTCTAATGGAACCACATAACAACTTCCATTAACAGCTTCCATTTTCGTGCAGAGCACCATCTCTTCTTTTATCCCCATATACCTTTTACTTATCCACCACAAGTTATATACAGATTTGCATAGAGAGCCAACCCAAAAACTATATAGAAAGGAGATACACAGTAACATCATAGAAACCTCCTAAACCTTTTAGCAGGAATGAATGGAAAAACAGACCAGAACGACCAACAAGTATTTTTATATCTGTTTTAACAACGCTGTTGTCAAAGAAAAAAAATTGGAGGGTGGCTTTTACTTCTAAGTAGCCCTTTGATTACAAGCTTCATGCTTTAATCAAAAGTCTCCCATTTTGTTGTAACCACAACTGACTCAGATTGCTTCTGTGGTTGCTGCTGCGCCGGAATTGTGCGAACAGATTTTTCTGGCTTCGATGGCGCTCGTTGTTTCTGAACTGGCTTTGAGTCCCTTGACATGTGGCCAAATGGGTTTTCTTGTTGCTGCAATTGGATTTTAGATCCATTGCTGCTGGATTTGGAACTTTGATACTTTAACATATCCAGAATTCCTATGTACTTCTGAACTCTTTTCACCTTCAAGTTTATCAATCAACAATCAGAAAGTTTCCTACATTTAGTATCTAATATGATTAATGTGCAACTAAAATACATTTAAAAGAGACTATAATTCTACAATACCTGCAGTCTTCTCTGCAACTTTAAATCTCCCTCTGCAACAATACCATCCAGTTTAATTAACTTCATCATCAGAAGTTCAGTCAAATTGTCCACATCAGTCTCTGCAACTTTCCCACCTGTAGAAGCTGTTGCTTCCAAAGCTGTGACCTATTAAAGTAACAAAGAAATTAATAAAAATCTGCAATTCAATTTCTCCAAGAGACAGCATACCATGCAGTTTGTCAAATTTTTATTTCAAAAATTCAATTCAATTACCTGGCCAGCAAGCTTGTCCACTTCCAAGTTGATCTCTGCTAAGGATTTGGAAGACTTCTCTGCATTTGCATTTCTGAGCAACTCCACGCACCTCCTTTCTCTACTCACAATGTCCTCCTCCAACACAATTTTTGATCCATCTTTAACTCTTGCCACATCAAGATATTCTTTGGAGTCTCTCTCTTTGTTTTTGAATATCAGCTTCTGATCCAGATGATGCAATTTAGTCGGTTCTGCCAACATTTTCTTCAACTCCCCTGCAATTCAAAAACCAACTTTCATTAAAACAGGAAAAATAAAAACTCAATTGTTTCTTTCCAATCAAACCAACACAAAAGTTTCAAGGATTGCAACTAGTACCAAAGCTTGCTTGGGGACTTATACGAATTTCGTGGTATGAAGAGCCATACTTCACTCTAACTTTGATTGGGGGGATTGAAACAGAACTGGGATTCATCTCTGCATTGCGCTTTTGCACCAACATTCCTCCTGGCCTGATTTCCAAGTCTTCAACATTGGGACCTCCCTTGCCATCCACAGAGAACTTAGTTGCTGAAGAAAACATTTTGTTCATCTTTGACTTAATTGGCTCCATCTACAACTCTTCTTGATCTTGTTCTGAGGGTAAGTCTAAGAAAAAGATAAACAAGTTGAACAAGAAACTTCAAGAGAAGTTGAGAGTCCTCAATGTTCTTCCCTTGAATTAGAGGTAACCCAGTAGAAAAGAAAGCACCTTTGGCCCCTACAAAAGCTAGATGGTGGAATCAAAGAAAACCCAGTAAGGAAATAATTGGAAAGAGATGGTGCAACTTGGACCAAGTATTATATTGGTCCAAATTCAATGACAGAAACTATAATTTGAAAGCAAAGAGTTTCAAATAATACTAACAACAGCCATTCACAGAGAGAAGATGACCAGAAGCATGATCAAATCTTTGAAGAGAGAGAGAGAGAGAGAGAGAGAGAGAGAGAGAGAGAGAAATGAGATCTGTTCAAAGCAGTATAGAGTAAACCATGGAAACTAAAGAAAATGGAAAAGAAAAAGGAGAGAGAACTAATGGTCAGCAGAGAAAGAAAGTGAAGTGAGTGAAGAGAATAAATCTATGTGTACGAAGAAGGGAAGTAAAATAAAAGGAAATTCCAAATCAGATTACGTGAAGAGAAGGACAAAAGAAAAATCTCTGGCTTTTTGAGAATGTAGGGTAAAATTTTATTATGCTAAAAGTGGCAATAACAATAAGCATTTTACATGCAGAAGTAAGTGGGATCCTTTTAACCCCTTTTTGATAATTATTTTTCTTCAAGAATTGCCGTTAAGTATGTTCATGTAAACTCGCAATCCAACATCAAACAAAAGGGTCCCGAGGAAATTAATGTAGAAAAGTTCATGCTGAAAGCAGTCTTTGTCACATTAATGGAAGGCCCAACATAGAATTGAAAAGCAGAACATGTCAAGTCCAACTCAGCAGAAGAAAATCCCAGCCAGTTGGCACTTGTTGTCTGGTCTGGTTGCCCAAGTGGTTGGTTCTTCTGAGGGATATTGCTGTCATTTTCTTCAAGGAAATAATTGGTTTTTTTTACTTTTATGAGCAAATTTAATATTCTTCTTTTTGAACAGATTGTTATCTGTCATTCTGCACAGCATATCATATCATATGCCGTCTCTGAAAGCTCATTGGTTAAAACATCATTTCTAGTTTATCAAATTTGTTACAGCCAATTCCAAGGTTTAAATATTCTAGGCATCATTCGGTGAAAGCACAAGGTTTAAACGTTTGGGTCAAAAACAAGCAAATCAATGGTGTGGAGGATATAGGCCAATGCCTTCCCAGCTTCCATTCTTTTTTTTATTATCAAAGCAGCTTCCATTCAAATCACCAATGTTTTGCACAAGTGTCTGTGAAGCAATTCGCTTATATTATATGCATAAAAAGTTCACACATGGTGATAAGCATTGAAAGTGACACCATTGGTTGTTAACTTTCTAAGCCAAATGCAATTGCAAATAACAATCCAAAAGTACCAACTTTATGTTTTTTTTAATCATCCAAAAACTTGGAAGGGGTTTTAACTCAAGTAATCAAGAGCATTTATTTATGAACCTGAGATCCTAGGTTCGATTCCCCTCTCCCAATATCGCTTCTATAAAAAATAAAAAAATAATCCAAAAACTTATTTTCCCTAAACATATGCTTGACAGCCAGTGAAATACCATTTTGTTGCATGCTTATTTTTCTGTTAAAATGTAAGGAAATTAAACCCTTGACCAAGCATAATCCTAGCCCATATTTTCCCATTCACAGTCGCAACTTGAGCTAACGTCAAAGTCTTCCATTGTGCATGCTAATGCTAAACCACTAGAATTGCCTTTGGTTTTTTCACTTGGTATTGCAACCCTTTCTTTTTTTTTACCTGAAAGTTATTATCTGAACGTAGCAACCCTCTTTTGCTGCTAAATATTCAGCATCACCCCATATTCTTGTTGCTATGCCCTCCCTGTTTCTTCTTTGTAATTTTGTAATAATGCTTTTTCACTTACTGAGGTTGAACTTCAAAACAGATGAAATAGATGGTACTCGAATAACTCAATGCCATTGAAGTCAGATGTGAATCAGGCTCAACATTTTCACTAAAACAGATGTTACAATGGGAAACAAGGAGAAGTAAACTCGGAAAAGCAGTGCTCTTTTTATCTCATTCCAAGCACTCCAAAGCATTAAAAATGCTGTTGCGGCTGACAACCTCACTCTTCCTTCCGAGCCTTTGATCTTGCAGGCCTTGGAGGTTTTATTACGTAACTCAGTAGTATCAATGCTATCGGAAGAATGGTTCCGATGAAATGCACGCTCCCATATGAGGCAAGTGTTTCACGAAGGCTTAATACCTGTACCGTTTAAGACAGATGCATGAGATACTTTAAAGCATCAGAGGATGGTAAGTTTTTGTGTGCATGTATGCATGTGTGCATTTGCGAGAGAGAGAGAAACTGAGAAAGAGAGAGAGGACTAACAATGAAACCAACGCAGGAGTAGTTCAGAACCAAAAGAGTGTAAGCAAAGTTCATGAACACCAGTATGTTCTTAACAGCATCCATGTTTTGAGGTACAGCTTGTTGCCATCTGTAAATCACTGTTTGCAGAAGGAAGTTGAAAAGAATATAATTTAATTATCTTAACAAAATAATAATTCAACAATAAAGTTGTCAAAAAAAGAGAGAGAATAAAAGCAGCAAAATCAATACCTCTTGAACCAGCAATCATCAATGCTGACTGAACAAAGAATATGATGTACCCAGGATAGAGTCCCTACATTGTTCAAAGAAGAATGAATATAACACATAAATTTAAATTTAAAACAAGCAAAATTCAAACTAACGCCGTAGATAAAGAAATGAAACAAAAAAAACTAATCTGACTAATTAATCTAAGGGAAACTTAATGGGTGATAAGCACTAAAGTTTGAAACTGGGCTTGATGACACTGGATGGTGAAGCAGAGATTATGTCACTGGATGGTTGATAAGCATAGGAAATCCCATTTGGCAAGGGATGGGATGGGGCCCCAAAATAATCAGCACCAAGTACATCCCTATTAGGGAACACTACGAAGTATCAGAACCCACACACTACTCATACGCGCAAAACTGAGAAATTATATGATTTTCTTTATGAGAACTGTCAACTGGTTAATTATCTAATTGGAGTTAATTGCTTTTCCTTTCGATTTTTTTAAAAAAATTTAGGAAGATTCACTATTATACCCAATATAGGAGCCCAAATTATAAAAAAAACCCTATATGAAATGAACTTTAGAAACACACCCAAAGCCCATTTACAACATAACAAAAAGGCTTTTAACTTCTTTTAAATTACAAAACTGCCATTGATTTCTTAAAACAAACCCAACCCAAAAACCTCATAAAAAAGCCCAAATCACTCAATAGGGCATCAAAGTAATTTAATAATTAAAATTAAATTCAATAGGGCCAGCTGTCGTTTTTTGGGTTTGTTTATGGAAATTAAATGGTGTAGGGTTTATTTATAGTTTTAGTGGTAAGAATGGGTATATGACTAAATATCTCTAAAATTTATAAGAGATAGACACCTATGTTCATTCGATAGAATGAGTGCCCAAAAACCACTTAAGAGAGGCAGAGAACCTATGTATGCATGTGCAGAAGAACTACTTATTGAAGATTTTGCTTGAAAAACATACTAAAAATTGATTTTCTTAATATCATACATGCGGCATAATCACCTAACAATAAAAATATAAATGGGGCACAAAATCAGCAAAAGATATACACACATTGAGGATGATTCTAAGACAATTCATACTCACATGCCAAACAGCACTGACGGTCTGTGTAGTCAGCAACTGGAAGAAACCAGCCTTCTTGCCAGGTTTAACAAGCCTTTCATAAACATCTACAGAACCACAATATATCAGATAAAGCATCTATTTTAAATAGTTATCTCTTGCTTCATGTGAATAAAATACTGATAATTTCTGATGATATAAGAAAACAAGTGACAGTCTTTAACAGACCTAAAAGTAGTCAACTTTCAGCCATAAATTTCAATAGATGCAAAACTCAAGAAACAGTGGCCAAATTGTCCAGTTTAATGATCACTCATTTTCTAACTGGACGAAAGCTATGTGTAGTTCAAACTTTACATATTTAATACCTGGACTAATTATTCATATAGTTCTTTTCTGAATCTTTTTTGTGGTGAAAAGTTCTTTTCTGAATTTGCATATAAAAAAAGTTAAAAGAAAAACCCAACTCAATACAAAATAGGTTTTATAGATTGGAGATTCAAAAGTAGTTTTGAGAATTATAAAAAATCTCTGTTACCGACAACAAAGCAAAACTTAGGAAGCATGAGAGATGCTCACAATGACGTAGCCAGGTGCTGACTTGTATGTTCCAAACAAGTGGTAACTGAACTGAACTCTTTGCAAACTCAACGCCAAGAATATCAACATTTTTCGCACGATCCCATCGCGGCTTTGGCGGTGAAGATTCTGTCCAGCCAGTGAAACCCAAACCAGAAAGAATGATAGAAGCCTCTGAAATTGACCAGATGAAATAATATTTCCACCTTGCTGTAAATCCTGACATATACTGATAGCCCAACCGTTTCCAAAAACCCCATTCCTGGTATATGGGATCAGTAAATCTTGACAGAGGAAATTGGGGGTACCAGATACAAATACAATGCCATACAGAATGCAGCTTGGAGCAGAGCTCGAATAGTTGCTCCATATGGTGATGGAGACAGTCCTTCCTCTGAGTGGCTCCAAATCTGAAAACAATATTTAATAACAAGTGAGAAGTTTCAATCTCAGGAAAGACAAAACTAAGAGGAAAGTCACACATCTGGAACATCATAAGCATACCCCCTTTCCTTCAGTCCAGTCAAGATAATCCTTTATCTCATAAACTGGACCAGCAAAGTGGCTACCACAGCAGAGGCAGTAACCGATGTACTCGATCAATGAGGGTAACTTAATCAAACGGTTTTTCTTCTGAGACTCACGCAGTCCTTCCTCTTTCAGTAACCCATCATTGTAATTTATTGCACACGAGATGACCTTCAGTGTTAACACCATTAAGGCTCCTAAATATGAGATGGAAAATTCAAAATTAGCTGACTGGTATAAACAACAAGGGTTATAGCTTCTCCAATATGGCTACAAAAAAAAAAGGCCACTATATGCATTTTCAGTTTCAGTCATATTTACAATTCATTAGAAGCCCAATATTTTAGTAACAAAAGAGAAATGGATTTCATCATTTACGAAACACACAACTAATGGTTTTCTTATAAGAGAATGACACTCATCATAACCCAGTAAAGATAAAACATTAGGGAGGAAACATAAGCCGGCTAGAAAGGCTGATATTGTGCTTACCAGTTGCATCAATTCCTCCTTCCTTCCATGCGTCCCCACTCATGTAAAATACATGGCTACACTTACAGACACATGTTTACGAATGATCAAGAATTCTGAAATAAGATTTTTCAATACATCTCTAGATACATAATTATAAAGACTATCGCATTACAGATAATGTATTATCACTTGAAGACCATTAATCATTAAAGGAAACAATGTTAGCATCAATGAAAGCAAAAAAATCTCTATGCACTCCACATTTTGTTAATGGTGCAACGGTGCTTTCTCCCAGAGCATAAGGTGATTGAAATTAGAAAATGCAAAATGCTTCACAAAAAGAGTTCAGTGACATTAAAATGAGACAAATAAGCTCTGTAAAACTTAGTACGTTAAACCCTTTACTGACTGCTAAAAAATAATGTAAATTGTCAAGAAATTAAAAGAAAAAAACGAGTTAATTCAAGTGCATGACAGTTACATGCATACAGTATCAAATTCAATCATCAATAAAAAGAAATAAAAAATGACACTACACATCATGCCATAAAAATACCACTCAACCAACATGAACTGTTTTTTGTTGCATTCATAACCTCAAAAATAACGTTTTATACAATCACAAGCATTAAACTTAATTTTAAAAAAAAATTAAGAAAACCAGCGTCACAAAATAACACTACCCACCAAATCTTCTCCTAAATTTCGATTACCCAACTCACAAACAAAGAACCCAGTTCCTCAAATTTAAACATCGAATCAAAGATTAGTTTCCTAAGAAACGTACCAGCCGATGAGGTATCCAAAGCCCAAGATGTAGGTAATTATACCACAATGGCTCCGAGCGAAGACCATGGAAGCATAGCCGAGTAACATTGGGACTAAGAAATGAAGGTTGGAGGAGAAACCGAACGAGAGATAGGAGAGGAGAGCGCCCGAAACGGCGGCGTAAAGGTGCTTGGCGGGTGGGCTCGGCACGAGTCGCCAGAGGAAGCTGACGGGGATGGTGGCGACGAAGCAGAGGAGGAAACGGAGCACCGCGACCGAGACACCGATCGCGGCGGCCATGGATTCCATCTCCAGGCCCATGGCGGGTTCTTGGCTGGTCTCGCCTTGTTTTTGGCTTCTCTGGTAAAATGAATCTGCGAAGAAGAAGAAGAGTTGAACAAGGAAATGAGATGCTCTACTGGTTTTATTTTTATTTTTCTCGAAAATAAAAGAGAAAGGAAATTGGAATTTGTGGACTTATTTTGATGAAATGACGTAAACACCCTTGGAGACATCGTTATTGCCGGTGGGATCCACTCAGTCTGGATTGGTGGGTGAGAGTTAGTTGGTTGGCTGTTGGAAGTGTAAATACAATAATACCCTTGGACTGTGTCCTTTTATATTCCGTAACTTCTCGAAGTCATCGAACGTTATTACAGCCCCCATGTTAGGTTTTTATTTTTTTTTTTCGTTCTTTTGTTTGATCAGTAGCCCTTGCTTGTTTTTGTTTTTTGAACAAGGAAAACGGGTACACTAGGACCGCAATACACTGCACGACGAAGAGCTAGAGCCTCAGCGTGTAAGACAGAACAGTATCCCTTGCTTGTTAAGAGCATCTCCACCCATAAGGGCTAAGTCTAAAGCAAGGACAAGCAAGAGCTACCACTATTCACGTGAATAGTGTCAGCCTTTGCATTTGTGGTTCCACTCATGAGGGCAAAGTCTAGGGCAAGTCTAAGGCAATTACTATTCATTGTACTTTATTTCCTATTTTTTTTTATACTTTAAACCATTAATTTTGATAAGCTTTTTAGATTATATTTTCGGTTGTCATGTGTCACTATTTATTATAAAATTTTCACTTAAAATTTAAGATAATATTTTTCGGATAAAATTTTCAAATAAAATTTTCGGATAAAATTTTCGGTTGTCACGTGTCCATATTTATTATAAAATTCACATCCCACTCATTATACAATTGAAATATTCTTGGTCCTCATAATCTGACACAATGGAATACAAGGACAACTCCATCATTGGCAGAGGTGGTTCTACCGAATCACGACGTGGGAGAGTATTTTCCTTCGGAGGACGTAATAATGTCATTATTTCTGACACGGAACGCACCACTGGAACTGACTGCGGGCATTGTTCACTTGAGGAGCCATGTGTAATGGCTTTCCTCTTTTTTGTTTTGCCTTGACTAATTTATTAAAAAAAGAAATTGGAAATGCAAGAAATATATATAATAAAAAAAAGACATTAAATGGAATAAAACGGAATTTTTTTTTTAAATACCTTGTTGCCAAGATTTTGACCTCTTCGAACATTTGTCCATGACCCTCCGGCTTCAATAGAAGATGACATTTGTATTTTTGCACAAATGAAATTTTTTAGTAGAAAATTTGGTGTGGAAAGTGAATAAAATTGTTAGGTTTTTATAGGGAAAAAATCCAGAATTTTTTGGTTTTTTTTTAAATATGAATTTTTTTCGATTTTTTTTGCAATTTTTTAAGCCAAAAAAATCAAGGCCGTCAGATTTTTGGAAAAATTTGCATCGAAGCGTCCAGGAAGCGCCACGTGGCATATTCCCGTTGGGGCCTGTCAGCAGTGACGTCACGCTGACGTCATCGAGTGAAAATCAAATTTTTTTACTGTTGGCGCATGAAATTCACACGCCAACAGTAAAAAAAATTGGATTCATCGTGTGCTGACGTCAGCATGACATCACAGAACTCGGGCTGAAGCCGAGGCGAAACCTGCCCTTGGGCTTGCCCGGGCTTGATGTCGCGCGCTGGAGGTCGTTTGGGCCAACTCGGGGGGCCTTTTGCCCAGTTTTGGTGCTGCAGTGGAGAAGCTCTAAGGTTGAACAAAAAGGATAGGCTTAAGGGGATGGTGTCCTAACACATCATTTTACTCCATGTTCTTTAAATTCAATCAATGTCATTCACATCCTCTTATCTCATACATTAATGTCATCTTCGACATCAATTTCAGCATAAAAAATCGAAGGCAATATCGTCAAAATACACTCACTCACACATGAGTTGATGGAGTTGTTGAAGAGGTCACATAAGTGGCTAGGTATGTCAAGGTAGGGTTTCAGTAAGGACGAGGGCGGATTAGAGTTGGTGGGACTGGAAGGAAGGTCAAGCGAATGTGAGTGGTGGTTGGGGTGCGTTGAGATTTACATTACGTTACTAAACTAGGTGCACAATAACTTCTTAGCAAAACAGTGATCACTAACCATATGAATCAAACAAATAGTGATAGCCAAAATGAATCAATGGGAAACTATATAATATGTAACAATATTGTGCATAATTTAAATTACTATTTAATATTTGTACATCTATTTATGTCTTTATATGTAAAGTAAAATATCTTAATGGTTAAATTTTCAAATAATCCAATTTGTCTTCATTTAAGAAAATAAATTTTGATTCAAAAATTCTTCATTTTAAAAGAATAAGAGTGTATTACAATATAAATAATTTAAAAGCAAAAAAGAATTAAAAATTTGATCTCCAATCTTTTGTTAAGATGAAAAGTCTATTAAGATGTGTGTGAGCACGATTCAAGAGACTAGTTTTAATAGCTACATCAAGTTTTTTTTATTTAAAGATATTTCTTATTGAAGGAAGTGATAATATGTTAAATTCAGACACACTACACAAATGTTAGGACTCGAACCCCAAACCTTTACTGATTAAGTAATTTCTCCAAACAACTACACTAGTTTTAATAGCTATACCCAATTCACATATACAAAGTACAAAGCTAAACAACTGACCATCATAATCTGAAGAAACGAATGTGATTCCCACGATAGCCAAAATGGTCAGATCCGAGAACCTGAAATGGTCATATCTGACAATCGAACACCCAACCCAATAGGCCCATGCTGGCCCTTTCTTCTGCTTTGTTGACTATAAATTATTTTCATTTTCGAACCCAACAGTCCACACTACAAAACAATGAAGAAACTTGACAGCGGCAATGGAGAGATCAAGAAAAACCAAGCGCGAACGACCTGAAACTTCATCTTCTTCCCAAAACATAAGTAACCCATAAGACCTGTGATTTGAGCCTATATTGGATTGTTTTGATTGGTTTTGGTTGGGTTTCTTTTTGGACTGTAATTTCTTTTGATGGGTTTTGGTAGTGTTGTCAATTGTGTGAAGACCAATGAAGGTTGGTTGCATTGCGAGTTCCAAAAGGAGTGAGCTTTGTTTTTTGGTCAAGAAAAGGAGTGAACTTTTTTTCTTGGTCAAGAAAAGGAGTGAGCTTTGTTCTTGAATGAATGAAGTTTGTTATGCTTTGTGATTTGTATGTGCTCATTCAATTAGGAATTTAGGATTGAAACTTTTATTTTTGGTGTTTCATGCGGTTCTCAGAGATTTTGTGAGAAGAGAAGAGAGTAGTTGATGTGAATATTTTACCATAACCCTTACTTTACAATGACTTACCGCAACTGGTTTTGTTGTGTGAATCAAACCTGCATTGATATTAAGCATGATTTATGGAAGTAAGGCTATGAATGTTTTATGGGGCCTACTGTGTTTCCACTCTCCGATTTATTTAATTCTTCGGCACTATATGATGATAAAGCTAGCAGCATTAGAGCATATATTTGTCACACCCCAGACCCGGGGGTCGGTGGAAATTCTGCGCCCGGTGCATAAGAAAAAAAATATTATAAAAAGAAATCGAAACATGGATTTAAAATAAACTTTTCTTATAAAAATAGATCCAAAATCTTACAATTTTACAATAAATAAATAAATTTTATTACTCTCATCTAATTCAACCTCAACTAATTTAGTCCTTGTCTTGCCCACTAATTCATCTGAAAAATTAAACAGGGTGATAGATGAGCAACCACCGCTCAGTGAGTAGATTATGTAATATGCCAGTCAAGCAATGCCGTTTTATACACTTTAGAAAATATCATGAAAAGATACACCAATCCAGATCATATCAAATCATTCATTCATACCTCAATTATCCTTCATAGCATGTACCAACCACGTGACCCATATTGGCCTTACTACCCTATGTCTTGGTGTGGTACATCTATCCCTCGGATACCCCAACATTGAAGTTCTCATGTTCCATGAATAATACATATTTCACAAATATTCCAATCAATATATATAAATATATAGTGTGAAAGATTGCTCCAAATTAGACATGCTTGACTCGAAATAGAGAGATATTTGTAAATAGAACAAATCCATGATAATTCATGGTTTTCATATTTTATCACAAAATAAGAAATTTTAGAACACATTACATAAACCACTCACTTCGATAATGAGAACCCTTAAAATAAATTGGCAAGACAATCCATCTACCTATCTTCATGTACTATCACCCAAACCAAGCTCCAAGAGTTTCATCACCACTCTCTCTCCTTCTTTCTCTCTTACTCTCTCTCATTTCTCATGCAAACTATGCATGCCTTTCTCTAGATGTAGTAAACCATTTGTAAACGTAGACTCCTATTTATAGTAGTAAAAGTAGGCAACAAGAAATTCCTCATTGGTTAATACTCTTGGTGGCAACAATATAGGATAACAACAACTTGAGGTTATCTTCAATCTTTGCATGTCCCACCACCTAGGAAGAATGGTGGCACCATCTCTAGCTACAATACTCTTGATCCAACACCTCATACTAATACCAAATATATCTTTTAAGCCTTAACTCCTTAGTTTTCAATAAAATACAATATAATTTATGATAAGAAGGTTTGTCCAAATCTATCACTCAACTTAAATATCTATCAAAATATACTAAAGACGGTGTATTCAATTGAGATTTTAAAAGACTATTTATGGATAAATAAGTCCAATGGATTTTAAAATACTATTTAAGAATGTTATGACTTATAAGATTTTTTTTAAAGATTTTTTATACTCAGGATTTTTTATGTTTGGATTTTAAAGATTTATATCATAAGAATTTATCAGATTCGAAAGGACCACATGGATTTTTTATTTGTACGATGCTAACCAACCAACTTAGTTGGATGATGAGCAATGTCTAGTTCAATGATGCATGAATTCTTTAGGAACAACCTTTACAACCCAAGCTTTCCAAATGATGGTGGAATTTATCCCTCCCAAAGGTTTTATGATAGGTATAAGGTTAGTAGGCTGCAGACACTTGGTTCAAACAATGGAATGGAGCCATAAATAAAAAGCCAATGAAAGTCAATTGCTTAAAGTTGTGGTCACTTGCATCAGCAATAACATAAACATGATCAAATGGAATAGAACAATAAATAAAAGCAAACATTCAAAGTTATAAGAGTCAATGAAAAAGATAACAAAGAAACACAATTTTAACAAAGAAAAGTAAAATTCAATAAAGTTTTCTCAATCTTTTAATAGCCAATTTGATGTAGCTTCATGTCCTCATAAGTAGCATTTCTCCACATATCTAAAGCTATGGTAGCCCTCCATGCATTAGCATTTTCTCGTTGCTGTTCTTAGGTTTGAACAATAGGTTCCAAATTATCTTATTCATTAACTGCTAATACTAAAGAAGAAAATTCATCTACTAGTTCAATTGGAAATTCATCATAACGACACTCTTTGCGAAGAAAGTTATGTAGTGCTACACATGCTAACACAAGCTGTGCTTGTGTCTTAAATGGAAATGGAGGCGCTGACTTAAAAATTGTGAACCGTGATTTAAAAATGTCAAATATCCTCTCAATCACATTCCTCAATTACGCATGGCAAAGATTGAACAATTCATTTTCATTTTGAGGGTCATTACCATGACCTGCAAAATCTTGGAGATGATATCACACACCTCGAAATTGAGCTAAAAATTGACGCCGATTAGGAAATCCACAATCCACTAGGAAATATTTACCTAATTATATATACAATACATATAAAATTAGTATGAAAAGTTAAAAAATATATATATTTATCATTTAAACTAAATACTTACCTTGGGGCACTTTAAGTCCATTCCTCCTTGATAAAGCATCATTTAGTAGCTTTGAATCATGAGCTGAACCCTCCCACCCGCTAAGAACGTACATGAATTCCAAATCAAATTTACAAGCAGCTAATACATTTTGTAATATCTTGCCATGACGATTACAATAATTAATTAAATCTCGTCCCCTCACCATTGCTAGAATATGTGTACCATCAATAACTCCAATGCAATCCTAAAATTACTCATATATCACAATAACCATATTATGAAAAATACATATTATAATAACAATATTATTATAATTAGATAATTATCACATACCTTGAAATAAGGGTAAAACCTTGTGCTTTCCCTTATTTTAGCTGGCACAGTTGGTCCTGGTTTAGCCATCAAATCAAATGCTATTGAATTCAAGGCCTTCAAAATCTTGTGAAAATTTTCACTTGTAGCGAATTGTGATCAACCAAATGTATTATGAATGACACAATATCGAGTATTTTGGCTGACAATTTGTAGGAATAATGCAAGCATTTCTCCAACACAAATAAATCTAGTATCCTCCAAAAGTGTTTTTTCTCTAAGAATTGTGCGTAACTTCCGGAATACATCTGGATACATTCTATATACTTGTCGGAAGATTGCGGGTTAATGGACGTTCAACCTGTTCACCACGCATCATAATAAGAAACCGATTTAGCACATGCATTAATGCATAAATTGTCATCACAGATATGTACATGGCTTCATAAAATTCTTCATCATCCATATCTTCGTAATCCATATCTTCATCCATTTCATATTCACCTATTTCTTCATCATCAATTTCTTCTTCCTCTATGTCATTACCTTCATACATGCCTGGTTGTGACATTATACGAGACTGCAAAACAATAAAAAGAAGAAAATAGTACCAATTTATGAGGCTGCAAAACATTATAATACCTTCTATGATAATACTTAGAACACATAGCCAGGGCATACGAAAACACACTGTCACCCTAGTAATGTAAACTAGCACCTCAAAGCATGTACTTTTCAATCATCTGATAAGGAACAGTACCCAAAAAATGGCTATGCTTTGAATGAATAAATGGCAATGCTTTGAAAATAAATAAATGGCTATACTTTGAAAATAAATAAATGGCAATGCTTTGAATGAAATATGACATAAAAAAGTTAGCTAGTGGTTAAAAGAGCTTGTCTCTGCACTTTCTCTTACTGCCTAACTATAACAAAAATTAAAAGCTGTCTTTCTGTTTGCTTTTTTTGGTTTCTTTGAAAACAACTTGGGTTATGCATAAAACTTTGTAATAGATGAGTACATATAGGACTGATTCAAACACTAATGAAATATATATATATATATAAGACCATATGTGTCGAATGATAGCCATAAACAGACAATAAACGTAGAACATATATATATATATTTATATAAGACAAATGCCATAAATAACAATTGTTTGATTCTCCCATTTGTTATATATAATACATGATAGCAATATGATTTATATGAATTTAATGATTTTGCTCAGTGCTCAACTAGTTGGGATATTCTAGTCTTTGCCTTGAGAGTACTATGTGGTTTAGATCCTTTTTATTTTCCGTTTGTAATTTTTTTGCAAATGACACTAACAAGTTGAGTTTTCATCACCTAGGGTCCTGAATTCGCTACCATCATCACCTAGATACACATTACAATATAATAATTGCATAAAAAAAGTAAAGGTTGTTAACGTTTACCAACAATATATTATGTATGTGAAGCTGCTGTTAAAATAGTTTAACCAAATAAAAAAGTAAAAGTTGTCACAATAGTTCAACCAAATTATAACCCAAATAGTTCAATCAAAGTACCAAAATAGTTTAACCAAATTACAATAACAATAGTTCAACCAAATTATAACCCAAATAGTTCAACCAAAGTATCAAATAGTTCAACCAATGTAGAAGCAAAATAGCACAAACAAAAATATAGTTCAACAAAACCCAAGATGATCAAAATACTAAAATCATCCTAACTTGAATTTTATCCAAGATGAGCGCTCTTCTAATGACATCTTCAAGAACAAGTCCTTCTTTGCTTTATTACTAAGCAATTCACCCGCCATGTAACGAGTATTGTCATCCAAATTTGGTATCTATTTTATAGCATCCCAAATATCCCTCTCTTTGTCTCTTTCTCTTTCTCTTTTCTCCATTAGGTTAGATATTTTTTTCAAAATTGGCAGAAATAGTCTCAATGCCAATAGAAAGATTTTCTAGAACTTTGGCTTGGTTGTTGGTCCCAACTGAGCTAGAACTCCCTTCATACTCGGATCTACTTCACTTATTGCGGCTTAATTTTTCAGTGGGAACCTCTGAACCAAAAGGGGAATGAGATGGTTGACTATACGTTGGTGGGGTGATGGAGGCTGATAGGATGGTTCATAGTGATTTGGTGCTATGAATGCATCATTATTAGGATCATATGAAAAGTCTTCCATCCCGAAATCTCTATTTTCTTCCTCATAAGTTGTTGCATCGGTATCATCAGCGCCCAATGCAATGGAGCCATTCCCAGTAGCAGTTCCACCCCCAACAACAATCTTCAAATCCTCATAATCAACAACACTCTTTTCTCAAAGTTTACTGTGATTTGGGTGGGACTAGCAAAGAACAAATTATTCATCGTTAATATATTGCAAATAATATATTGTACTAAACTAGTAAGCTATTAATATATTTAAAAGATTATGAATTAAGCTCACCTTCAAGTAATCTTTCCATACTTCATCACTAGCAGTGAACGTCTTTGTAATTGGGTCCCACCCAAAGCCAGAGTTGTTACACATAAGCGTAGACATCTTCTTATATTGCTTCTTAAACCACTTCATTCGGCTCAAGTAATGATTATAAGTTTTTGGGAACCTAATTTTCGCATTAAGACAAGGAAGTATCACTCTTTGTACATTTTGCTTGCTAAGTGACCCATTAGCATCACACAATCCATTATTGATAGCATCCACCAAGAGATGCAACAACTCATTGGTATCATCCATGGTCCAAGATTCATAGTTCTCTTTCTCTTCGCCCTTTCCTTTGTTATTTCATTGTTGTGAATCCCCCATTAAATTACTACTACAACATATGTAAGAAATTTATTAGTTATTTCACAAGAATACATATCGTACCAAACAAGAAAAGAAAAGAAAAGAATTTCACTCATGTTTCCTACTTTCTATTTCCTTTCTAACTTTGATAAATATTAATGGCAAATCTCAGGTCTTTGACAAGAATCCGTATCTTATCATGGGGGGGAGAGAGAGAGAGAGAGAGAGAGAGAGAGAGAGAGAGAGAGAGAGAGAGTGAGAGAATCAAGGCTTGAGTTCTTATAATAGGATGTGGTCAATAATAATTGTCCATGTGTATGTGTGTTAGGTGTTATATTCCTAAACAAAAACTGTTGTTTTCAATTTTTTTTTAACTAATTGCATAGATGGCCAAAAACTAACTACAACAATAATTAGGAAAACAATTGTTTCCATAAACTAACTACAACAATAATAAGCATATTGATTTCAACTAGCTGCTACAATTATTTTATTTCATTCTTGAGTGCTATTTTATTATTAGTCATTGAAGAAATACAAACTACTATATATATTAGTTGGATACCAAGAAAGAAAGGGAGTACTGGAAAGTGTATGTCCACATGTATCAAACCTAGCAACCATCGCTGCGAGATGTTAGCATGGTTAATAGAAATAGAAGTAAAACTCTATAAGTCAATCTCTTGGTCCTCGATAAAGTTATAGAAAACGAATACAAAAATTTACCGGTGACTAAAGACAAAAATAATTGTAGCAGAAAGACGCGATATAAACAAAAGACTCCACATATAAACAATTATTCTGTTCTGTTCAGATATAAACAAAAAGACGCTAGTCTATGCATTATTCTGTTATGTTCAGATATAAACAAAAAGACGCTAGTCTATGCAAGGTAGTAGCAATTGTTACATACAATAAACGCAAGAAGGCATAGCACAAACCATATACAAACATGGCATATATTTGATACAATAAATGCAAGAAGACATAGCACGAGAAGGAAGCAATACCTTGTTCACGAAGAGCTATTTATCTATCTTTACAAAGAACTGTTTATCTTCTCTCACAGACAAAAAAAAAATCTCACGTGAAAAGTTTGATAGGTTATGATGAGATTTGAGATAAGGTTTGGTATTTATACCTCCCACTAAAAAGTCATACAAATTCCATATTTTAAAAAAATCTTTCGAAAGTAGCAAGTTTTTTAATACCAAAAGACTTTTTGTTACTTGTTTAAAGTCTTGATTGAATACCACTAGATTTGGACACCCTCTTAAAAAAATCCCAATAGTCCTTATTGAATACCACAAGACTTGTTTAGATTATTTAAAAGTCTTAATTGAATACCACAAGACTTATTTATCCCAAAATAGTCTTTTAAAATCCTAATTCAATACACCCCCTAAGATTAACCTAAACTTGCACACTGCCATGCAAATAATATGAGTATATATATATATATATATATTTGAAAACTAATATTAAAAATTGCACATATATATATATATAATGAATATAAAAATATATATTATTTATAAATTAAATGGAAAAATATTAAATCTTCAAATTTTATAATTTTATAAATACGGGATTTCACAATATTTTAGTATGCAATCTATGTTTTTACTTTTCTTATTTGCCTTTACAAAATAATATATTTTTAAAACCATACGCAGATAGCTGATTAGAGGCATCTTTCTTTGTGTGTGTGATGTTTTGTATACTCGTAGAAGTTTGCCTGAAAAGTTGGTATATTAATTCACCATACTTCATACTTAAATGTACTGCAAGATTCTTCGTAGTTTTCCCATCTTTAAGGGCTTAATATTTTCATTTGGTGTATAAGACTATTGATTTAATGATTAATCATCATATTTTCGTCGGAAATCTTTCTTATAATATTCAGCTAGTATTTAACCCATTTTTGAATTTTTATGTGTACGTTGAAAGATTTGTTTTGAGGCTTTCTTTCCACATGTATTGTGTATGTGATACAAAATTTTACTCTTTTTCTCAGTCTTCAATTTTATTTTATAATTTTGGATTACTGAATATCTCATTTGCCAATCCAAAAGTGTTGTTTGTCAACTGCTTTGGTAAACTATCATGTAAAATTTGTAGGGCCGAATGTATGTTTATTGATTTTCTTTGAAAGCATCTTTGCTAAGTAAACAACATCTATACACTACGCTTATGAAGATATCTTGATTTTATATTTGGGAATAAGTATCCTGCCAAAAGAAAGGTAATTTCTTATACCAGTTCTGGACATATGCCTTTAGCTTCTTCTGTCTTTCTCTTTATGTTTTTTTTTCCTAAGTTCTTTTTCGTGACAAAAACTACAAAAGCAATTAAAATATCCAACTATCCAATAGTTATTTAAGAATTAAATAAGCTTATATCTTGGATTGTTAATGTTTTCATTTTTGAAAGATATGTAACACCATATCTCTCATGTATGGCTGTGTTATATATCCATTTCTTTGTGAAAAAAATCAGTTTACTTACATATCAAGTTTATTTATTGTTGTTATGAATTTTCAGGATAAACAGCTAATATTGAAGTGTAAGCTAACAAAGCACATTGATGCTGCAATTTGGTTGAACACAAGAGAGAAGCAGCAAAATAAAGGAAACAACCATTTTTCTCTAGAAATGTAAAACCCTCCCTCCCCCTCCTTGTGTGTATTTGCCCTCGTGTTTGAACTACTAAGATTCTACCACATAACGCCTAATTATATAAAGAACTCATTGCATGCTTACGCACCTGGAATGAGAATGGAAGGGATCATAATCATTCCCATTCCAAGTCATTCCTAATTTTTCAAATTACATAATCATCTTTTTGGAGCCAAGCAGTTTTACACATATATGTTATGTGTTTGTGGTTTTTGTCACATTTTTGTAGTCTTGTTACTGTTGTAGGATAAATTCTAATTCGACCACGAGAAAACGAGGAAGGGGTCACAATAAACGATTTTAGACAACCAATGAGGATTCTGGATTAGTCGAATCATTGCAAGAATTATATCATGACACCAGGTAGAGAGATGATAATGGTTTCAAAGATGGTTACTTAGGCCATATAAAGGCTATGCTAGAAGTTAAACTGCCGGGTTGTGGAATACATGTGTCTCCTCACATTGAATCACGAGTTATGACGTTGAAGAAAAAGTATTCTGCCTTATGTGAGACATTAGTTCAAAGTGGTTTTGGTTGGCATGATGAACAAATGATGTTGGTTTGTGATAGAAGAGTATATGATGAATGGGTGAAGGTAAATTTGCACATATCCTACTCGTTATTTCTTTTATTGTTCCCTAAATTATTAATTATATGTTCTATGATATATTTTTATTGTAGAAAAGAAATGAGGTAAGTGGATTGTTTGGGAGGTCATTTCCATTCTACTATATATTTGGTGAGATATATGGAAAGCGTCGTCCCATTGGTGCAAATGTTGGCAATGTTGATGATGAAGAAGAGGAAATTAGACGAGAGGATGCAAACATTGATCAAACTCTAGGTGGAGATAATGATTTTGATGAAAATGTGAATCTGAATGTTGATAAGAATATGGAATCAGAGTTTGATGTATCATTTAGTACCCAACAACGAAGACTCGCACAAAGTTCCCAAGTGTTTCAGGTCATGGACGTAGGGTGAACGCAAAGGTAATTGAGGAGGTAAGGAAGGGTTTCGGGAGTATGGCGGCTTCCATAGAAGCAATGTCATATAAGATTGATGTTCTGATTAAAATTCTTTCACCTGATAAGAAAGTGAGTGAATTGCAAGCTAAACTTGACAGTGAGTTAAGCAAAATTGAAGGCCTTACTAGGTTGCAAGTCTTCCGAGCCACAAATATTTTGGCCACCAATCATGACCTGTTGAGAGTGTTTTTCACTATGTCTAAGGAAAGGAAAAAGATATATGTTACAAATCTACTAAAGTATGGCTTATGATTGAAAATCATGTTCTCATTTTATAAAAAAATGATTCTAGCCAAATGAAAATAATTTTTTGCTATGAATTATATAATCATAACTTTACTATGGTTAATTATTAATGGAGATTATGATTCTTATTTTTGTCATAAATCATGCTTGTTAAGCATAGTTTATACTAAAACCTTGTTGAGTTTATATTGTTTTGATGCATGTATTTATGTCATCCAAATTTTGAAAATAAAAGTGCTTTTGAGTACAAGCGATAGTCTAAATTAGAGGGGAGAAGGATTTCTCACACACACACACACACACAACTATGATGTCATGGGGGTTCGAACCTGAAACTTCTAGTCTGCAAGTCAAGGCTCTTTTCCACTGGGCTAGACCCCGTTGAGGAAAACAAAAGTGCTTAAATGCCCAAGTACACCCAAAAATGGCATAAATGCTCTACTTTCATGAGATTTGGAAAAGATTTGCAAACTAAACGGTTAAAGGCTGTTTACTTTTGGCATGTACCATTGGAGTTCTCTGCTTTTATTATTTTCCAATAGCTGTATTGTCTATTTTGTGGAAAAGAAGGATAACATTGTTATCTTTTGCTAAGAAATGAATAAACATTGACTAGATCGTCTTTTGGTAGAGTCGGTATCACAATGTTGGTGACTCGGTGCTCATTTTTATTTTTTTGGGTTTCAAAATTGGTGCTCTTTCCCATTTATTTATTTATTTTTTTTTGGTTTTTTGGTTTTAATCTTAAATCCTATGTAGAGGCTTTTTTGTTCTAAAGCTCTTGGTTCAAAGTATAATGGTAGCTCATGTATTTGATAATGGTTATTTAGTTTTGTTACTAGCAAAGGTACCCGCGCGATGCTGCGGGTTTTAAAACTGTTTAAAACTGTGCGAAATTTGTACATATATGAAAACCAAAGTTTAAGCCACATAGCTGTCTCAGAGCATATGGTGAAAAGATTGACGCGAGCAGAACTTAAAGAGTACAGAAAGAAGGGAAGGTGGCACTTTATCAGTATGGTTGCCGGTTAATCATTCCCAATTTCTATTTTGTCGAAACCTGATTAATCTTCACTTCTTTTTTCCTTGTGTTTTATTATTAATTTTTTTCTCCATATTTAGGATACAGCAACCAAAAGTAGATAAAAAAAAACAACAATCAAAGGCTGAGATAGCTCAAATACCTCAGTTGCAATGAATCAAAAAGAAAAACATAGAGAATAAACTCTGCAAGCAATAAAATCCCAGAAAGACAGTGCCTAAACAATTTATACTAATATAATCAATAACAATTTTCCATTTCTTCCTGTAAAGTAAAAAATGGAGAATTTCAAAAACCCATCTGACAGTTCTCATTCATAATCTCGACCCTTAATTAATCAGAAAAAATATACATGCAAAGTCATCCTAAACAAATCGTGTTGCCCATCAAATCATCTGAGAATGAAACGAAAACCCTAACCCTAGAAATTGATGTTTGTTGAACATGGTTTTCTGCTTCTGTTTTATTTTACAACAAACAAAAGAAAACCATGTCCAAGATATTGTAATCACCAACATACTCAGCATAATCAATTCGGTCAAGAAATCAAGGGACGCGAGAGTATGCTCAGAAACCCATCAAGAAATCATTAATCCATTAAAAGTTGAAGAGATGCAAACCTGAAGAGAAACGATGGAAGAACTCGCCGAATCGAAAAGCTATCAGACGAACGTTGGACAGAGGATGAAAAAACTCGCAGATTGAAAATCTCTCAGATGAACTTTGGAATGGCTGAACCAACGACAGGAGAGATGAGATGAAGACTAAGCGAACGGTGAGATTTGCAAAGCGCCATCCCAAATGGAAATCGACGCCTCAAACGAATCCCGAAGATCAAACTCTTGCATCCCATGGCTGCCCCCCAACCAGCCTAACCAAACTCGTTGGAAACAAACGATCGATCTGTAGAAAAGCAACAGTGAGAAGAGTTAGCATCCAAAGAGAGAAGGGCAAAAAGGGAACATCAAGGAAAATTTTAATAAGGGAAAAATCGACAATTTACTGTAGGGTTGGGAAAATATAAGGTTGTCCAATAGTGAAACAGGGGGTTTTATGGCAGTTCACTGTTCAAGGAACAGTGCTTATGAATAGCGTCTAGTTGCATTGGGTTTTAGTATATATTAAATTTAGCTATACTTTAATTTAACAAATGCTTATTACCTTCGTTTTCTTAACATGGTATGTGAGAACATCAATGTTAAGCACTAATCCTCTTGCAAATGTAGGTTAGTCGTGTGTCAATTGTCATCCAAGTTCGATTCTCTCATCGTAATTTAGACTAGTTTAAAGTATTGCTTAGAAAAATAAAATGTCATATTTTTAAATAAAGATTCTTGTCATCGTCCAATCGTGACTTAAAAGATGACAAGAAAAAAGTTTATAAAAGGAATCCCTTAATGCTTAATATAATCTGCAAAGTTCACCAAAGATGATTAGGTTAACATCATCAAGGTTGTATACTTTTTTCTTTTTTCTTTTTTGTGACAAAAAATCATTTTTGGTCCCTATAGTTTACCACTTTTACCACTTTGGTCCATGTCGTTTCAATTTGGTCAATTTTGTCATCGTAGTTTCAATTTCAAGCAATTCAAGGACAATTGGGATTTTCTGTCAAATTTTTTTAATGCCCGTCATGTTTTGGTCACGTGCCCCTCACATGAAGGGGCAATTTCATCAAATCGTGCCTACCGAAAAGTTGCCCTCTCTCCTTTCATCTTCAGATGCAACTTTGGGCCAAGCTCCAACATGCCCATTTTGCAATGGTGAAATAAGAATAACAACTTCAAATACTGATAGGCGTCGTGGAAAACGATTCTGGAAGTGCAATACAACATATGTAATGTCAAAATTATATTGATTTTTGTGCGGATATAAATGGGGTATATGTGTTTCAGTGTGTTGTTTTTGCATGTTTAACAGGGAACACTTTACTATGCTAGATTTCTATGGAAGGATGTGATCAACAATCGGCATTCACTACTACAAAAAAGGCAAAAGACGACGGGAATTCACCGTCGTGTATTCGGTTTTCAAACCGTCGTGAAATCGACCGACATCTATTTAGGTGTCAAACTACGACGGCTTTTCACCGTCGTTGTTTATCTGTAACGATGACGGTTTTTAAAGAAAATCGTCGTTGTTTAGAGATAAAGATCATTAATTATAGGAGAAAAGATTACTATTTTTAATAAAACTGTCGTGTATTGTATGTAAAGAGGACGATTTTTTATGAAAACCGTCGTGGATTGTTTATAAAGACGACGGTTGTTTTATAAAAACCGTCATATTTATATATAATAGACGACGGTTTTTATAAAAAGCGTCATCTTTACATATAATAGACGACGGTTTTTTTTATAAAAAGCGTCATCTTTACATATAATAGACGACTGTTTTTTTATAAAAAGTGTCATCTTTACATATAATAGACGACGATTTTTATAAAAAGCATCATCTTTACTTCATAATATACGACGGTTTTTATAAAAAGCGTCATCTTTTCATATAATAGACGATTGTTTTTTTATAAAAAGCGTCATCTTTACATATAATAGATGACGGTTTGTATAAAAATCGTCATCTTTACATATAATAGACGACGGTTTTTATAAAAAGCATCATCTTTACATATAATAGACGACGGTTTTATAAAAGCGTCATCTTTACATATAATAGACGACCATTTTTTATAAAAATCGTCGTTAATTATCTGTAAAGACCATGATTTATTATAAAAACCGTCGTCTAATAAGTTTCCAAACTGCTACATTTGAGTTCTTTTTTATTTCCTATGATGCTATACAACGATTTTAACTAGAAAACCAACCATAATGCTTTATTAATGAATATATACACTCAAAAATAGTTTCTTTCATAAAACTTGAAGATTCAATAGTTATTACATAGTTAACCAATCTTTATTCTACAACAAACATAATTCCTAACAAGACCTACGTACTCCTAATCCAAGCATTCCTCATCCAAACATACAAATGATGCACAACTGAAGTCTCCTCCATCATCCCTGTAAATAAATCAAAATGACAAAGAGAGAAAAAAAAAACTAAGATTATAAACATAAAAAATTAGGTGGAAGAGAAATTTTACCATTGGTCCATATTTCCATAGAAAACTTGTAAAATGAGCATAAAAAAGACCATCGAGAACCTGCAAATTTTCAACAACAAAAAACATACGACTCACATAGAAAACCTGCAAAAGAAAAAGTTATAAATCTGCAAGCTTCCTCCTCATCTCCTGATAACCAAATTAGAAAATCTAAAAAGAAACTAGAAATATAAAAAAATATGTAAACAAACCAGACAAATCAAGAGAGACAAAATCTGAAATTAGGGAGACAAAGAACATACCAGAAACGCAAAGAGACTAATCTAGAATTCACTAGCAAGATATAGAAGGGTATTAAGAGATTAGGTGACTTTCAAATCAAACCTTTCAACCAGCTTTGATTCTCAAATACGAAACATCCATCTACATCTTATGGATCTGCGAAGACCTCAATCTCTCAACTCCTTCATTGATGATCCAGGTGGATCTTTTCAAGATAATTAAATAATAAATATTATTTAAATTAAATAATTTATCAACCATTCGACTCGAATGGTTTAAGAAGAAATGGTTCTGAACCATTTAAAAATTAATGGTTTGAATTACCTAAAGAATTTAAACCATTTAACATTTGTGGTTTAAATTCATTTATTATTTTTAGTTTTCTATTCTAGGCATTCAGGCTTGTATATAAACCATTGTAGTTGAATGAATTAAAACGGGCAGAACTCAAAGCAGTTCCTTAGCTTCTTCCTTTTTGTTTCTCTAAATTGTCTTAAAATTCCTCTCGTTCCCTTATTCCTATAAACTAGGAATTCATAGTTCTATCGACTAGAAGTTTTGGATCAAGTGGTATCAGAGCACCAGATCCGAGAGGGTGACGGTGGTTTATGGTCTCAACTCGCAACCAACGCAAAGCTTCTGGAGAAGAACTTTTAGGTCCTTTGCTCGTACACCGAAAGCCAAGGTCCAAGAGAGACAATATGACTGGAGAAAACAAACAGGATACATCTAGTGATGGCGATCGCATCACTAAACTTGAGCAACAAGTTGAAAACTTGTCTGCATCAATCCTTAAACTCGTGGAGAGTTTGAAGACTGGAAAATCTTCACGTCCATCAACTTCATCTGAGCCTGATCAAAAGCTCAAGAAAAAGGTTGTTGAGGATAGCGAAGATGAAGACGACATACAAGCTGATCCAACGAAAAAGGAAGCTGAATCAGGTGACAATAAAAATTCTATTGATACCTTAAAGATTGATTTTAAGGTTGACATCCCTATTTATAAAGGAGATATTGATCCTGAAAAGCTAGATAACTGGATAGACACATTAGAAACTTATTTCACAGTTTATAAGTATTCTAATGTGCAAAAAATAAAATATGCGAGTTTGAAACTTTCAAGCCATGCCCTTACATGGTGGAAGTCCTATCAGAGACGGTATGATGTCTCAGAATTGACTTGGAAGAACTTCAAGAAGCTTTTGAGAAAACAATTTTATCCAGTTGGCTATGAAGATGAAAGATGGTATAAGTGGCAACACTTCAGACAAAGATTTGGGCAGCCTGTACAAGAGTATACAACAGAGTTCCACAACCAAGCTATGGTTCTGGACATTGACGTTGACGACTACGACGTTTTCATGAAGTATACCGGAGGTCTTGCCGACTACATACGGAAAGAACTAAAATTGTTCACCGTAGATACTATTGAAGATGCTACTGTGAAGGCCATAGCCATTGAGGCAAAAAATAAAAGAACTGACAAGAAGGATGACAGATCAAAACCTGTCAACAAAACTGACTGGCAGAAAAAGGGGAAGCAGAGCAAGGAAGGTCAGACACAGAATGTCTACTGTGATCACTGTCAAACCAGCAGACATGCCAAAGACAAGTGCTGGATACTCCATCCAGAGTTACGGCCAAAGCGCGAGAAAAACAACCAGGGGAGAAATGACAGAAAAGCCACATTAACTGCACAACGGGCAGAAGAGCTTCCAGAGTTGAAGCAACCTGATGTTACACTTACCCTTATGACAAGACCAGCAGATACTGAAGACACGTACAACCGTGAAGAGCTGTTTCATGTGAATATCCAGGTGAAGCAAAGTGTTGTACAAGCTATTATTGACCCTGGAAGTCAGAAAAACCTGATTTCAGAGGCTTTAGTAAGAACAGTGGGTTTAAACACCACACCACATCCTAAGCCGTACCCGTTAGGATGGATTCAGAAGGATGTTGACTTACAGATCACGAAGCAATGTACCTTCAAATTTGCTATCACCAATCGATATATCGATGAGGTGACATGTGAGGTGGTTCCCTTTGGATGTTTGCCAAGTCATATTAGGTAGTCCATATTTATGGGACCGAGATGCCATCCATTATCGAAGGCTTCGCAAGTATCGACTTGTGAAAGATGGGAAGGAGTTCCACATCAACGCTTGCAAGCCTCAAGCTACAAATAATTTGCTTACAGATAATTTGCTGACAGCTAACCAAGCCAAGAGGTTAGTCAATTCATGTGGGCGATTCGTTTTGTTGATGATTCGACCGCAAGATCAGAGTTCTAGAGCTGTGACATTGTCTACATTGTCTTTATCTCCTGCACAATGCTCAGACATAGGGAAATTACAGGAGAAGTTCAAGGACTTATTTCATGATGTGCAGGGTTTGCCACCACGGAGAGCTGTGGAGCATGAGATCCAGTTGGTAGGAGATTCACCTCTACCAAACTTGGGTTTGTATCGTACTTCTGTGACGGAATCTGACGAGATCAAGAAGCAAATTCAAGGACTTCTTGAACAAGGAGTCATCAAACCCAGCTGCTCACCATGTGGTTCGCCAGTGTTACTTGTGCCTAAGAAAGACGGAGACTGGCGTATGTGTGTAAATTATAGGGCACTCAACAAAATAACCATTAAGAATCGGTATCCATTGCCGAGGATTGATGACCTACTAGATCAACTACATGGTGCACGCTACTTCACTAAGCTTGATCTCAAATCTGGCTATCACCAAGTCCGCATCCATGACGAAGATACTTGGAAAACTGCATTCAAAACAAAGCAGGGACTATTCGAGTGGTTAGTCATGCCATTCGGATTATGCAATGCTCCAGCTACCTTCATGCGATTGATGAATGAGGTACTCCGCCCTTTCATTGACGACTTCGTCATTGTATACTTAGATGACATTCTCATATTTAGTGTCACATGGGAGGAACATCTTCATCATATTGCTCAAGTTTTGGAGGTTCTACGAACAAATCAGTTACAGTTAAATGGTAAGAAGTGTGAATTTGGGAAACAACACCTTGTATACCTGGGATTCATTGTTGGTGCAGGAGAACTGAAAGTGGACCTAGAGAAAGTGCAGGTGATTTCTCAATGGCCTACTCCCCAAACAGTGACTGAAGTTCGGAGCTTTATAGGTGCATGTCAATATTTACGAAAGTTTATTCGGCACTTTTCACAAATTGCAGCACCCTTACATTCTCTAACAAAGGCCAATCAAAAATTTGAATGGTCGAGAAACCATGAGGAATCTTTCCAGTTATTGAAACGGAAGATTACAGAGGCCCCAGTATTAGCATTACCGAATTTGCAGAGACCATTTGAAGTGGAAGCAGATGCATCGAACTATGCTATGGGAGCCGTATTATTTCAAGATGGGAAACCAGTTGCATACCATTCTGAGATGTTTAGTGGACCGGTATTGAATTATCCGACTTATGACAAGGAGTTGTATGCAATGCATCAAGCAGTGAAGCATTGGAGAGCTTACTTGTTGGGAAAAGAAGTCGTAGTTCACTCAGATCATAAACCTCTTCAGTTTTTAACTACACAGTCTAAGTTACAGCAAGCTCGCCATATGAAATGGATGTCTTACCTACAACAATTCAGTATTGTGATAAAGTACAAGAAGGGAGCAACTAATAAGTTGGCAGATATGTTATCTAGACCACCTACACCAGTTAGTTCCGCATTGCTGGTGGCTATGAAAATCCAACCCATTGTTCCTTCTGAATATGCCAAAGGGTACGACACAGATGCTGATTTCAACTCAGCCTATGCCAAGCTGGAACAAGGAAAGACTAGTGAGTTTCAATTGAAAGATGGACTAATGTATAAGGGAACACAATTGTGCATTCCAGAAGATGGTGACAGATTGCAATGGATTCGTGAGGCTCATACTTCTAAAGTAGCAGGGCATTTTGGAGTTGAGAAGACTTTATTGAATCTTCGTCGCTATGTGTATTGGCCAAAGATGCATCTCGATGTTTCACGATACATTCGAGGTTGTGTTCTATGCAACACATCGAAGCCTTCCAACAGGAAGTTAGGACTGTATCTTCCATTACCAGTACCTACTCGACCTTGGGAGAGTATCTCGATGGATTTCTTAGGTGGCTTGCCTAAAACCAAGTCTGGAAATGACTACTTGTTTGTGGTGGTAGATCGTTTCAGTAAGATGGTGATTCTCATTCCATGCAAGAAGACCGTAACTGGAGAAGGAGCTGCTAAGTTATTTTTCCAATATGTTTGGAAGCATTTTGGCTTACCTACATCAATTATTTCTGACAGAGACAGTCGATTCTTAGGCCATTTCTGGAGGTCGTTATGGGGAATGATGGATACTAGATTGAAAAGAAGCACTGCATTTCATCCACAGACAGATGGGCAAACGGAGGTCGTAAACCGGACTATGGTACACTTGTTGAGGGGTTACAATTCCAAGCATCCGAAGACTTGGGATGAAAGTCTCCCTTACTTACAGTTTGCTTTCAACCGAGCAATTCATGGCTCTACACTCAAATCTCCATTTGAGGTTTGTTTGGGTTATTTACCCCAGAGTCCTTTTGATTTAGCATTCACTCTGAGTGACCAACCATTATGTGGGAAAGAAGAAGAAGAACATATTCGAGCACATAAATTTCTCGAACGAGTCAGAAAGATTCATACTGAAGTGGAGGCACAATTGAAACGTTCTCAGCAACGATATAAAGCTCGCCATGATAAGCATCGTGTGCCATGTAACTTCAAAGAAGGTGACCTAGTATGGTTACACCTTGGAAAGGAGCGGCTAACAGGTGAAGGCAAGAAACTGAAGCCTATTCGTTATGGACCGTTCAAGATCATCAAACAAATTGGTGATAATGCCTTTCAACTTGAATTACCACCATACATGCATATGTACTCGGTCATCAATGCCGAGAATCTTAAGCTTTTTGAGCCATCTCTACTTGATGATGATCCCGACGAAGACATTCGGCTTCCATCAGTTGATGACTTAAAAATTGAACTAGAAGACCCTTTGCTGAAGGATTGTATCTTGGAGCAGAAGGTTCGTGAGACCCGACATGGAAAGTATGAGTATTTTCGTATTGGCAGTAAAGGGCAACTTCCCAGCAAATCGAAATGGTATATTCGAGACAAGGCTACCCAAGAATTTCCACATCTCACCATTTAACTTGAGCAGGAGCTCAAGGTCTTAAATGGGAGAGCCATGATCCAGGTGGATCTTTTCAAGATAATTAAATAATAAATATTATTTAAATTAAATAATTTATCAACCATTCGACTCGAATGGTTTAAGAAGAAATGGTTCTGAACCATTTAAAAATTAATGGTTTGAATTACCTAAAGAATTTAAACCATTTAACATTTGTGGTTTAAATTCATTTATTATTTTTAGTTTTCTATTCTAGGCATTCAGGCTTGTATATAAACCATTGTAGTTGAATGAATTAAAACAGGCAGAACTCAAAGCAGTTCCTTAGCTTCTTCCTTTTTGTTTCTCTAAATTGTCTTAAAATTCCTCTCGTTCCCTTATTCCTATAAACTAGGAATTCATAGTTCTATCGACTAGAAGTTTTGGATCAATTGATATCGATTTTTTGATGATTTTGTAGAGAGTTTCATGAGGGTGTTTTAAAGAGTGCAGGAGGGTTTCAAGAAGGGAGAGATAAGGTTTTCAGAGACGGGGGAAAATCTGAAAATTTGTCGAGCGCGAATTCACTTAAGTAGCCTTTTTTTAGCGTGTTTTAAAAGACGACACTTGTTAATGAGAGATAAGGTTTTCAAAGACGGGTGAAAATTTGAAAATTTGTCGAGCGTGAATTCACTTAAGCGCCCATTTTTTAGCGTGTTTTAAAAGACAACGCTTTTATAAAAAAAAAATTGTCATCTTTACACATAATAGATGACGGTTTTTATAAAAAGCGTCATTTTTTCATATAATAGACGACGGTTTTTTATAAACAGCGTCATCTTTACATATAATAAACGATGATTTTATAAAAAGCGTCATCTTTACATATAATAGACAACGATTTGTATAAAAATCGTCATCTTTACATATAATAGACGACGGTTTTTATAAAAAGCGTCATCTTTACATAATAGACGACGGTTTTTTTTATAAAAGCGTCATTTTTACATAATAGACGACCCTTTTTTAAACAAACCATCATCTTTACATATAATAGACGACACTAGTGGATACCACAAAATCTTATGTTATATTTAACGAAAGTATAAATAAACTCTTAATTGTTAGTGAATATATTGTTTTGATGGCATACACATTTTAAGAAACTAGTTTCAAACGATCCAACCGTCAAACTTGTTTGTTTATACTTCGAGATCATATACACCAAAAATCGGAAAAAAATAAACATTCAGAGATCAAGTAACGAGACAAAAAATTTCGACAGTTATAATGAAAAATCATGATTTAACGGTTATTTTAACTTCGATTTTGATGATTTTTTACCGCTACACTCCTTGACCCTATATGAATACAATGATTGAATTTGATCTTCAATTTAAAATATTTACACTAGTGGATACCACAAAATCTTATGTTATATTTAACGAAAGTATAAATAAACTCTTAATTGTTAGTGAATATATTGTTTTGATGGCATACGCATTCTAAGAAACTAGTTTCAACGATCCAACCATCAAACTTGTTTGTTTATACTTCGAGATCATATACACCAAAAATCAGAAAAAATAAACATTCAGAAATTAAGTAACGGGACAAAAAATTTCGACGGTTATAAATGAAAAATCATGATTTAACGGTTATTTTAACTTCGATTTTGATGATTTTTTACCGCTACACTCCTTGACCCTATATGAATACAATGACTGAATTTGATCTTCAATTTAATATATTTACACTAGTGGATACCACAAAATCTTATGTTATATTTAACGAAAGTATAAATAAACTCTTAATTGTTAGTGAATATATTTTTTTGATGGCATACGCATTTTAAGAAACTAGTTTCAACGATCCAACTGTCAAACTTGTTTTTTTATACTTCGAGATCATATACGCCAAA